GGGAGAGAGAGAGAGAGAGAGAGAGAGAGAGAAAGGGAGAGGAGTGTAGAAGAAAAGGAAGAAGACAAAGCAAAAAAGAGGTAGACACAAAATCCTCCTCTCACCTGGCACGGAGACAGACAGACAGAGACTAAGAGGGACAGAGAAAGTTCAAAGAGAAAGGGCATGGAAGGTAGGAAAGAAGGGAAAAAAAAAAAGAACAAAAGAGAGGTAGATAGAGACGAAACCCCACAAAATCCTGCTCTCACCTGGCACGGAGACGAAGAACTTGACCGCGTCCTTGTGACCGTGGAAGGAGAGCTGTGCCTGGGCCATGGAGCAGTAGGGGATGAAACTGCCCGGGGTCACGCTGTCCGTCTTAGTGTCGCTGTACACTCTTATCACGCCCCCTGGCCGACCCCCGCCGCTGGGGCCTCCGCCGGCACCGAGACTGCTGGACGTGGTGATCATCGGCTGTTTGTTGTCTGAGGAAGGGAGAGAGGAATGTTAGACTGGAGGGAGGGGAGGAGGGGGGAGATGTCAAGAGTAAGGGAGGAAAGGAGGGAGGGAGAGAAGGTAATTTATAGACTGCTGGACGTGGTGATCATTGGCTGTTTGTTGTCTGAGGGAGGGAGGGAGGGGAATGTTAGACTGGAGGGAGGGAGGGGGGAGATGTCAAGACTAAGGGAGGAAAGGAGGGAGGGAGAGAAGGTAATTTATAGACTGCTGGATGTGGTGACCATCGGCTGTTTGTTGTCTGAGGGAGGGAGGGAGGAAGGGGAATGTTAGACTGGAGGGAGATGTAAAGATTGGGAGAAAAAGAGGGAGGGAGGGGAGAGAAATGTTAGACTGGATGTGGTGATCATCAGCTGTTTGTTGTCTGAGGGAGGGAGAGAGGGGGGAGAAATGTCAGGAGGGAGGGAGGGAGGGGGAGAGAAATGTCAGGAGGGAGGGGGAGAGAAATGTTAAGACTTAGGGAGGGAGGGATGGGGAGAGAAATGTCAGGAGGGAGGGGGAGAGAAATGTTAAGACTTAGGGAGGGAGGGGAGGGAAATGTAAAGACAGTAGGGATGAAAGGAGGGAGGGTGGGGAGAGAAAGAAATGTAAAGACTTACGGATGGAAGGGGGAAGGGAGAGGAATGTAAAGACTAGGGAGGGAAGGGGGGGGGGGGGGGGGGG